CATGATTACTCTGCATTTATTAACAATTTCATTGTTAATAATCTTCAATTATTTACATTTTTTGTCATACAGACATTTGTATTTTCTAACTTCTTCAATGAAAAATTCCAAATCTATTTGTTTCCTCATTGTTTTCGCTACACTTTCTGCCATTACGACAATCAAACTACACGTGACTAATGCACGTGACTATTACGCGTCACAAATCCTTGCGTTTTTGTTGGTTGCAGTATGACAGAAGCGCGGGACGAAAACGGAAAAGTTAAATAATTTTTAACTCTGCTTTCAGTCTTGTTTCTGTTCAACTGAACATTACAAAACTGAAGGTTTTGTCAGTTTGGCTTTCAGTTTTACAATTACGTCGCAGATTCCAGTAATGTGGAGTCCAGGCTTAGCATCCCCAATTATCTAACATGTATTTGCAAGCTGTCACTTTGCTTCAGTCAGAAATGAAATCCTCCCAGTTTAAATTATTTTTAAACTATACTTTTTTAAATCCGTGCCATCTTCGATGCTTGTATCTAATTTTACATTTTCAAAAAAGAAGCTGAATTCCATCCATCCTTTACCGAGTAAACTGCTTAGAATTTCAAATCATAAGAAGTACAAATTACTATAATCTATCAATGTCTGACAACATTCATACATACGGACTCAAGGGTGGCAAGTTCAAAGGCGGCAGTTGGTGCAATCATACTACAAAGCAAGAGACTCATAGCCTACTCATCAAAGTCGTTGACAGAATGTCAGTCACGTTATGCACAAATAGAAAAAGAGCTGTGTGCAATATGCAATTCAGTATGGTTGTAATCAATTTCATTAATATATTTATGGTCATAGGATCATTGTGGAAACTGATCATAAATTTTTAGAGACATTATTTAAGAAACAATTGTCTGAAGTGCCAATACGTCTACAGTGTATGATGCTGAATCTGCAACAATATGATCTGAGTGTTACATATAAACCAGGCAAATTCTTGTTCATAGCAGATACTTTAAGTAGGCCTCCAGTAGATCCGCCCAATGCAGAGGATTCTCTAGAGGAGGATCTCTGTATACATGCAAACTTATTGATGACTAATCTTACAGTGTCCCCTGAACATCTAGAAGAGATTAAACTAGTGACCCTGATGAATACAGATCTTCAAATCATTATAAAATATTGTCTTACTGAGTGGCCTACATCAAGAAATAAGTTTGACCATCAATTAAAACCTTACTTTAATATACATCAAGAACTCCATGTCATCGATGGTTTATTGTTTAGAGTTTGTCTACTTGTAATTCCTTTAAATCTTTGTTCCAAAATATTAGACATTATTCATGAAGGTCATTTGGGCATTGAAGTGTTGTGTATTGGCCAAACTTAAATATTGATATAAAAAACAAAGTAGAACAGTATCATGCCTGCATTAAATTTAGAAGAGCAAACAATGCAGAGCCTCTTATTCCACATGAGCATGTCAACCTGCCATGGCAAAAAGTAGCCATAGACTTTTTTATAATAATAATAATAATACTTATTTGCTAGTCAGACTATTTTTCTAAATATTTCAAATTAGTATCAGTCAGTTCCAGTAATGATAAACTGGTCATAACAAATCTGAAAGCAATCTTTTTGCATCATGGAATTCCTGCAGTCATTGTTTCTGATAATGGTCCACCCTTCAATTCAGAAGAATTCAGTTTATTCCTAAAGTGCTGGTACATAACTCATTGAACATCAAATCCACATTATCCCAAGAACAATAGTCTTGTTGAAAGAGCTGTTGGAACTATTAAACATCTTTTTAATAAGTGTCATGAAAATAATTCAGATCCATACATTACAATGCTTCAATATACAAATATGCATTTGCCTTGTGAATATTCTCCAGCACAACTTCTGTTGTCTAGAGCACTGAGAATGAAACTCCCTATCAACAAAACTGTGTTGAGGCCAAGAGTCATAGATATACAACACTACAACAAAATCCATGCAGAAGTGAGTAAAGCAAAAACTTATTATGACCAGAACACTGAAGTCTTGTCACCTCTAAAGGAAGGTGATGAAGTATACTATAAAAAGAGTCCAAAAGAACCATGATCACCTGCATCTGTTGTCAAAGTTGGCCCAATGCCCAGAACATATGTCATTACAACACAGATGGAATTCACTATAGAAAAAACAGACATAATTTAATGAAGACTCCTAGAACAACAGAAGTGCCAACTCAGAAAATAAAAGACAATTAACAACATGCCTACATCTATTCCAAATACTCTTGAGCAGGCAAACAGTCAAGCAGATTTTCGTTTACTGAGAATGATGAAAATCCACAAATTTTGTAAACATATTATATATTGTTAATGTTTGTATTTTTCAAAAAAAAAAGGGGGCATGTTATGATATGTACTACTGGCAACACTAGTGATCACCCCAGCAGTCATCCATTGTCAGTCATAAAGCATACCACATGTGTCTCATCTTGTAAAGGGTATAGTTGTAATAAATAATATAGCAAAATATGACCTACTTGAACCTATAACCGGTTATAGGTTCAAGTAGGTCAATTTTGCTATATACAACCCGGTGTGCACATGCTGTTTTGTAATAAATAATACATTAAGTTTGCTAGTCGTTTTAATAGTGCAACATATAACATAGCACAAACTACCACCGATATACAGTCGACCCCCATAACACTGTTGATTTTTCCGTTTTATATGAATTCCATGTTGTACGAGTCACTTAGATTTTACAAATACGTGTGCCGGGCTGTGAACGGCTCACGTATTTGTAAAATCTAAGTGACTCGTACAACATGGAATTCATATAAAACAAAAAAATCAACAGTGTTATAGGAGGGGTCGACTGTACAAAAAACAAAGCCAGTTGACAAATACCAGTAGTAACTTTCAAAACTTACAAACACAACAGAAAATTGGAAATTTAAAGACTTGGGAAAGTTTACTCTAGATTTATCAGTATCATCACTCTCCAGAGCTTCATGCAGAAAGGTTTTTTTTTCCAAAATTAACTTAATTCACATTATTATATTATTGTCAACTGGGACCTATCGTATTATTAAGACTATTACACTGGTGTACTGGTTATTTGCAAAAAGAGGAGTTTTTAATCAAAAAAACAAAAAATGTTTATTTTTCACCTGTTGTTTTCCCTGTACACACAATACACTTGATATTCGTGTTTCAGACCAATAGGTCCCTCACCAGCAGGTTTACCACAATGATATTCTAAAATAATTTACATAATAATTAAAAATTTATATTACAAATAATCTAAAAACTCGATAACAATGTGTTAAATTAGATTTTTTGTAGCCGATTACATCAAAATATGTATAAAACATATAAAGAAGAATCATTATTTTAACATTGCTTAAATATATATTTCTGTATAAAAATTTTAAAAAAGAGGTTTTAAAATTTGCAAATAACAAAATCATTCACAAATAGACGTAACTTACTCAAGCATCCTTCTTCACTTGAAGGAATAAAATACCCATCACCTATCACTTCCTTCTTTTTATACCCCTTTGCCTATTATTATGTCATTGATTAGTGGATTTCCCATCCTAGGTTGTTGTTGATTTTATTGCTTTGACTTTTTATATATATATGTTCAAATAACTGAAGTTTAAAATTACTACTTTTTTCTTTACTTTAATTGTGTTTAAATCTATTTCACATCCATTACTGCTACAATGTTCCACCACTGCAGAATTTGCATAATTTCCCTTTATTGACCTTATATGTTCTTGTATGTATATTTTTAATTTTCACTTAGTTTCACTTATATAATGTTTCCTTGGATTACAATTGCAATCAAAAGAATAAACAACATTTTCTTCCATTATGTCAGTTTTTTTTTTATCTGACCTGCGATATAAATATTTCTTGAATAAATTTTTTCTGGGTATCGAATTTATTTTTCCACATAAAACTTTAACTCTTTCAAACAGTTTTGGTATATAAATTAAATTTATACAGTTTTTATCCTTATTAAATGTTTTATTTCTGTATTAGTTATCCAACGTAGATTTTTTGTTTTTCTGATTAAAAACTCCTCCTTTTGCAAATAATCAGTACACCAGTGTAATAGACCTAATAATACAATAGGTCCCAGTTGACAATAATATAACAACATAAGATATAAGGACATACGGTAAAGGTAATTAAATTAACTTAATTAAAACGACCATTTGTAACAAACTCTGGACAAACTAACAGTTTATTAGCTTCCAAAGTACCAATAAAGAATGTTTTTCATTAAATTCCCCTTCAAAAAATGCCAAATGCTACAAACACGCATTAAATGCCTTTTGTACAGTGTTGTTTAAGGCAGAGGATAATGCTATTCCGTTACTTCTTTCCCTTCCTCAAAACTATGTCCCATCCCCTGGATTTATTTCCAGTTTTCAGTTTTTCCATAAATAATACCGAACGACACTAATATTTCCGACATTTTAATTTACTCGCGGGTGTCGGTTTTCATTGTTTTTAAAACTGTTTACTCTTCGATTTGTTTTAGTCTTTTCACCCACTTCCGGTTTATTCCGAACAAACAGATGGTGACGTTGCTCGGGGCGTTCTAGTCTTAATTAAAACTTACAGTAAGGCAAACAGTTTTGAAAACGTTGTTTGGGGCCCGACGGAGAAGCCAGCCTCGAAAGGAAGACGAAAGGTCCGAACCCGTAGGAATTTTCGGACGGGTGCGGCCAACGACGGCGAACAAAAAGAAATGGGAGAAGGTGCCGATCGGTCAATTTCTCGGCGGAGACAAATTCCGAGAGCGGGAGGTGGCGGCGAAGATACGAGCCGACGGGTCGACGGAACGGCCGTCCGAATTCCGCCCGGAAGCCCAGAGGCGAAAGGTGGCCGCCCCGACGAAAATTCCTTCGACGGGAAGGAAGAAAAAGAAAAAGAATAATTAAAGAGGACGAGAAAGGACTAGGCGGAAGGAAAATAAGACGGAAACGATCGATTTCGCATTACCTTGTTGCTGCGTATCGTCCATTTTCCTTCCCGGATCCCTCTGCCGGACATTAACGTCGACACCGAAAACTCGCCAAAATATATTCGCTATTTTTTGGCAATTGAACTGATCCAAAACTATAGGCTTAATTATGTTTATTTTCGTTGATTACATACACAACTATATGCATTTCGGGCCGGCATACATTTTACGGCCCCTCATCAGTAACAAAAATTAAGAGCTAAGTATGAATACAAATTAATTAAACATAAAATGATGATAAAACAGAATGTAGTACAGTACAGCGTCGTTTATACGAATCAATTGGAGAGTGGGGTGGTTCGGATAACTTATTTTTCGGATAACGAATCATGTACGAAAAAATACAGTCGACCCCCTATATGACAGTAGATACGTTCCATTCTTTAGGAATCCGATTTCTTACGAGTCCTTCCAATCACAGCCCGACACGTGTCAAGTTTACGGACTACGGCTGTTTAAAAGGTTTTCTTCCATAAAATCAATCGATTCTAGACTAATCCGACTCAACATTTCCAAAATACGTATATATTTTTTGGAAATAATCCGTATAAACTACGCTATAAACAAAATATTGTAGGATTACTTACCGAGTGTGCACCATTCGACATTGCCGTTGCTCAAGCTTGTTTTCGTCGCGGAAGAGCTCACAAACTGCGGCCGCGATTTCTGATGTTATTTTTCTGCGAAAACTTCGCTGAACTTTGGAGACATTAATATAAATAATTTTAATCGCCGTTGAATAAGAAATGTTTCTTTCACAAGAAATGTATAAAATTACAGTACTGTATTAGACTTACGGT